AACATAATTAAAGCAAGAGAACAACAACTAATAAGAGTCGAGTACACTAACTTTGCACAAAGTCTCTGTATTAAAAAGATGAATAATTAAAAACACTGGAAGAACAAGTTCATGATGTCTTCTAGGCAAGCTCTAATGGAAGATTGATTTGAGATTTGATGCGACGCAAAGTTAATTTATGAAGGAGATTTTAATAGTTTTAGATGGAGTAAAAATTTAAATAAAAATTAATCAAAAAATGATTTCGATAAATTCTGATTTCAAATTTATTTAAAAGTATATATGTGAAATTTACTTTTAAAAAAAAATCTGACATGTTTAATCCCATTAGACTGAGCTATTCTATCAATCCAATTATACACAATGTTCAAAATACATAGATTAAATCAATAACATTTTGAATAGAGTGATTAAATTGATTACAATCTTATAATATAAAAATTTACAGTGTACTTTGATGGACAAAATTACAAAGGATTTACTATGCGCTACAATGTAAGAAATTAACAGCGGTTGGCAGTCTATTAATTATGAGCCAACCACCAACCAAAGGAAAAGTTCCGAAGGAAGCGGGTAATAACTTTCCATGCTTGTATCCCAAGGTAAAGTCGGAGAGCGCGTAGGGCAGCTGATGCTGAAGAAAATAAATGCCCATGATAAAATATGAAATATCCTTGTTGACCACAAATCTTCCATTTCTTATAGACCCTAATACAGTTGCAAAGTTGGGTTGTGAATAAAGGCACTTGTCGGAAATGAGTCATTTAAAAAAATATATAATTTTTTATTTAAAAAAAGAAAATTCAAATCACCACCTTCATTTAAAAAAAATACCTTTTAACTATATGTATATAAAGACAGCTGAGAGTTGAGTGGTAGATATATTTTGCGTTCTATTTTCCTAGGGTGTCAGAGCATATCTCCCGATTATTCTATCATGGTGGGCGGATCTTGGCTTCGTCTTCCATCCACCCAAGACCACTGTTGCAACAGCCCAAACCGTGTGAAGGAAGGAGGAATTTCCTTTCCACGTACTGGGAGATTTTGCTATATGAAAATGTTGGGCCATGCCACTTTCTTTCTGTCCTTGATGAGTTGTCTTTAAACCAATCAATAGATAGTGACCAATGCTTCATACGCATAAGTTCGGTGGTGTTGAAATTAATCAGCTTGAGTTAAGATTATAGCAGTGTTATAATATATTAATGACATAATACTTAAAAAAAATTTAAAATTATTTATAAAAATTAAAATAAAATTTTTTATTCATTTATTATAGTCAATTAAATTTTTTATATTCAATTAAAATTAATTCCTCCTATGGTCAGAGCTAGCTAGGCAGCCACCCCAAACATTGATTCCCTCCTGTTATCGCCTGGCAAATTGCTGAATTTAATTTTTTTTTCTCATAATTGTATATTATTGAGTGAATGGATGGGGCAAAGAATGGAAATTTGGATGCTTGAAAAGATGAAACAAACAGTGAGTAAATTAGTCAATGTGGTCGGTAAGAGTAAGAACCATTTTTGGAAGTTGTTTACTCGGTTTACGTACTGTTTCTTTTAGACCAAAAGAAAACTGTTTTAACTCTGCTGCCGCTGCTTGTCCTTGTGTCCACCAAGGCCACAGCCTGTCTTTCTTGAGTATTTCCGTTAGATTTGTTTATATATTAGGTTACTTGCCCATCTCAATCTCATACCAATAAACATTGAATATGCAAGAAGCTAGTAGGAAAATTCATTTTTCTGTCGTTTTCTCTTTCTGAAAACCGTTCTCTATGTCCTATCACTATAAATACTCTTTTATAGTCTTTCTTGCATATCATATCATATCCCAAAGAACTAAGACACATCCATTTTTTGTTGCTGTTTGTTTCTTATGCAACTCTTTGGTTTGGCCTTAAAAGAACATGAAGCATCAAAGCAAACCCATCTTTGTTTCAGTTTTTCTGATCTTCCCAGTTCTGTTTCTCTCCTACTCAGCTTCAGTTTCAGCTCAAGAAGTTGGTAAATGTCAAAAGCAGAAAGCAAAGTGAGTGTTTATATATATATATATATGGTAGACTGATAGAGAATGTCACGTGTGAAATTTCTATGATGCAGAGGATGAGAGGGAGTTTGATTACCTGGAGAACAGTGGAAAAGGACCAAGCCAATGGGGAGATCTGAAGAAAGAATGGGCTGCTTGTAAAAATGGAGGTCTGCAATCCCCAATAGATATGTCAAGTCTGAGAGTGAAGGTAATCAACAAATCTGGAGAGCTGAAGAAGAGATATAAGCCCTGCCATGCAATCGTCAAGAACAGAGGCCACGATATTTCGGTAAGGAATTAATACAGACATTAATGGTTTGAATCACACTTTATTATCATCAAACTAATAAGCTACATCGCAAGATTTCATGTCCAATTTTCCAACTAACTAAACCAGCCACCACCCTCAATCATCTTTCTCCATGAAGGCATGTACTTCAAGTTTAATTAAGTTATTGTAATTTCTTGTTTGCTCTGTTTTTGTGGGTGTGTTGACTTGGATTACTTTCATTGTTTACAAATTGCTGGAAAACCAAATGGTTTAAGCAGATGCTCACAGGTTTCCAAATCGAATTCATTATTCAGTAAAGTAAGTTTTCTAGCACCGCCTTCCAAAAGAATATAGCCAGCCATGTGAATTGCAATGTATGGAAAACTACAAGTTGTCCCTTTCACATGGAAAAGCTTGTCAAACCCCTGCTTTGGTCTTTTCTTCCAAGAAAATAAGCTAATGGTCATATGTGAGTTATGTTATTCAACAGGCCCCACCCACCTCATAAAAATGGAAAATGTGCTTATCAAACAACGCTTCAAGTCTTCAACTACTACTACTACTCTTTGCTATAATGCTTATTTATACCTTTTAAAAAAGAAGAAGAAGACGAAGAAAATAAAATGGAAGTAAAGTAAAGTAGGCCCTGGGAAACTATTAGCAGTTGTTGTTTCCATGACTTTTAGGATCAAACGAGCCATCTTGGATGACACATGAATTAAAAATTAGGAAATCATAATAAACATCATATGAACAGCATCAATATTGTTGTGTGTTTTCTCTGAATATGCAGCTTCAATGGCTGAATTATGATGCTGGTTCAATCAAGACTAATGGTACCGAATACTTTCTCCAACAAGCTCACTGGCACTCACCTTCTGAGCATACCATTAATGGCAGAAGGTCTCTACTCTCTATTAATTCATCTTTCTTATTCAAACACTAAAATGTCGACAAGGTGAGATAAAATGGTTCAATTCAACTTCAACCGACTTACAAGGGTTTTTGTTTCTCTTTTTGATTTTGGACAACAATTAGGTATGCCCTGGAGCTACACATGGTACACCAGTGCAAGGACCCCAATGTGCAGAACAATCTAGCTGTTGTTGGACTACTCTACAAGTTTGGTGCACCCGATGCTTTCCTCTCCAAGGTGAAGATTAATTTCTACAATGATTAGAGAATATCAGATGTATGGCCTCCAAATTCCAATCATTTTGTGCCACTTGCAATGTTCTCTGACACATTATTTGCTCATATATTTCAGCTGATAGGCAATATTACATCCATGAATGATCATGTGCAAGAAAGGTATATAGGGGTGATTGATCCAAGCTTGATCAAGATGGGTGGCAGGAAGTTTTACAGATACATGGGCTCATTGACAGTCCCTCCCTGCGCTGAAGGTGTCATTTGGACAATGAACAAGAAGGTAAGTAAATCCAATCATCCCTAACCAACACTTTTGTCCTTTTAAACTCCTCTAGAAATGAGATCCTGAAGCATATTTGAACTTTATCCAGATAAGAACTGTTTCAAGGGACCAAGTCCGGGCACTCCGAATAGCTGTTCATGACGTAAGTAGATACCTATTTGATACTTGATCATCAATTTAGCTAACCCTGAACATTCTTGAAATGAGCAATTCCAAGCCAAATCTAACCTTGGTAATCAAATGATTTTCAGTATGCAGAAGCAAATGCAAGACCTTTGCAACCACTCAATCGTCGAGAGATAGAACTTTATGGCCCGAGCCCAGGGGATGTACCTAACTGATAAGATCTACAGGTGTATTGAGAATGCAGATTTTTTACCTTGACCCTATTCGTTTGGTTGATATATAAAACGATTCTTTCTCATTCTAATGTGTTCATACACCATTTTGAGGTTACATGTCATTTGCTGTTACTAGTTTACTAGATGATGCTGCATTTTTCAGTCATCTAGAATGAAATTGTTAGAAATTGAGGCTAGAGATAATCTTATGCTAACCAGAAACTTTAAAGATGTGAATAACTCAGATCATGGATACAGCAATCTAGAAAATTAGGTGAAAGCGTTTAAACTGAACAGTCTATAAAATTCAATCGACTATCTTGCAATGTTTCCTAGCAATGGATGTATATGATATTTAAATTCATCAAAACTAGAAGGGCATGTGCTAAGGCTGGCGTCCTTTCCTCAGCAAACTGGTAAAGTAACTGGGAATATAAATCTTCTACTTGTTTGTCAAGTTAGACATGATGTTACCTGCCTGCCAATTGAAGCAGCTAGAGTAATCAGGTGAATCAGAAACTGATTTTTACTCAACTGAATGATGTTACCATTGCCTAATTTCCGGGTGACCATATAAATGATTGATACTGGAAGCTAAAAATAATTGCACAAGCACTGATGGCCCGATCAGAACACGCCATCACATTCATTCCACGCAAAACCCTTTCGTCTCAAACTCATTTAGAGATTAGAATTATCAATCACATAGACAGTGACTCAGTTGACAGATCACACTTCTAATACTCCATTATCAGCTATAGTCTTAATCCCAACCCACCCGCTCCTCATCCTTTTCTGATATAAAGGATAAGTTAGTGACACTTGCCTATATAGGCCATGGTTAGATTACAAGCAAAAATAAAGTTGATTCACGCTGAAGTATTTACCAGATGCAAATTAAGGGAAAATATAAAATTCAAAATTGATTCCTTAAAAATTTTGGAATTTATTCAATGTCAACAACGATCCGAGTACATTAGCATATGCATTCTTCCAAGTTTCCCTTGCTCTACTGATACAATCAGCAGCTCCAGAACCAGCAGATTAGAATAAGAGACACGAGTAACCAAAGTATAAGGGAATATATTATCCCGGCTACCCTCTGCTGACCAAGTAGGTTTCCCCATTCTACAACAGTTAACAGTGGACCTAAGTCGAAACTGAATACCAGTAAATAAACATAGTTGAACCCATCATCTAACTATTTCGGCAATCTCTGACGAGCATGAAGCAGCACCTCCCCGTGTCTGCCTTGTGTTGTATGAGTTACATTTTAGGCACTTGTGTGCCACAATATGAAAATTAACCTCAGAATTTTCACCACAGTCATTACAAAGAATCCAAACCTGCTCAATCAAAATACTGTCTCAATCATTAACAGTTAAAAGAAACTAAGCACTGATAACTGCTAAAAATATGCAAATATCACTGACCATCTTATTCTGATAAATTTGAGGCATCACTGTCGAAGCAACCTGATTTGTTTTAAGAACATTTTGGCAGTTGACCAAATCAGAAAATTTACATACACCATTGCTAAAAACAAAAATAAGTTGATCTACGGTATAATAAACATACCTCACGATCAAGTCTTTCCCACACCCGCGACATATCACAGTAGGATTTTGAGCAAACAGGACATGAATACCTGCAATAACATTATTAACACCAAACCGCGCTGCCCAAGAATAATGTACGAAGGAATAAGGAAATGCTTTTGCAAACTTAACCAGCAGAACCAAGAGGTTGCACTTGTGTTCTCAAAAGGGACTCACCGGAAATGAGACTCCATCTCTTTTACACATTCCAAATGTATAGTGTGGCCACATGGTAAGACAGTTATGTCTTTCGTTGTATCAAAGAGAAACTAATCAACAAAACAAAAAATTAGCAGCTGAAGAAAAGCATGACAATCCATATCATTCTACTCAAACCTTCAGTTTTTTAACTTACTTCAAAGCAAACAGCGCAATTATGGTGCATAGCTTTTTCAACACAATTGTGGGAGTTCTTCAACATTGTAGAATAGCAACATCCTACAACAGATACAAATTCAATCCAAAAATTAATGATTGAAGGAGGAGAAATTTAAAAGGTCTTTCAAGTAAAAACACAGGATAAGTTGGCAATCTTACCACACTTATTACAATGGAAAAAATTCTCCTCTCCTCCAATTCTACAATACCAAACGAAATTAATCATCAGATATCATATAAATATAGACACACAAAAAGAATAGTTTCTAGCAAATTTCTAACCTGCAGATACCACATTCGTCACAATGGTACTGATTTTTCGAGACCTATCAATTCAAGAAAAAAAGCTTTTCCTTGGTAAGCAAGTATATCTATGAATTGCACTTCTTCAATCTTAAACTGCATTATTCTGACTTACATCGTCATCGAAAAAGTTGCATTTGGAACAAAAATACTTCCCCATGCAAACCCCACAGTAAATGCAATGCTGTTGAACCTAATATAAATCAAAAAATATCAGACCAAGTTAATATTCTTTTTTTACTGTTATTTCCATTCCACTCATTATTTACATCATTTTTAAAGTAATTTTATCAACATTAAAATACTTTTAGGAAACTTACATCTTGTTCTCTGTCACACAAGGAACAAATAACCTGAAAAGAGAAAGACATTTTATATATTGAATATAAAAAAATCAGCTAAGAATCACTTAAAACAATGAAAAAAAGGTCCAAAATTATTACAACAAAGACATAGCAATGGCCAAAGACAGCTGACCCTTTTTATATCATGGCGAGGAACCTCATGACGATCTAAAGGATTAACTTCGATTGAGTTCTGTTAAAAAAGAAAATCTTTTCCAAAATTAAAAGGTTGTCTCCAAAATGAAAAAAGAAAGCAAAGAAAAACTAAGGACCTTGGATTCATTATGGCAATGCCTGCAGTCGAATATCTCATCGCAACAAGGTGCCCTGATCTTGCACCTTCTTCGATAATGCGAACATCTTCAAAATCACAACAAAAAGAAGAACAAAATTAATGCACAAAAAATTGGTGGAAAATGAAATTTTTTGGAGGAAGAAAAATACCCGAATTCCCCATATCCCTTCTCCATTATAGATGAAGAGTTTGACATCTTGGGCTCAAAACTGCTCTCCATTAATCTCCAACCTTTCTTTTTCCAATTTATACTCCAAATTTACCTGAAACCAAAATTTAAACACAAAAAAAGGGATAAATTTAACTTGGAGATTAAACCAAATAAAAGTCCTAAAAGGCTGTAACATCTTAGGCTTTCCCAAAAAAAGAAAACAGACCCGCAATGAGACGGGTAAATAAGGTGTCGTTCAGAGAGCTGAAACAGTTATGAAGAGCTGAGCGATTGAGCAAGGATCAGGAGGAGGAAGATAAACAAAAAAATCTATTATATAGGACTCCCTCAACTTTCATGAAATTCCACATTGACCCCTGCTTTAGATTTTCCTTTGAATTCATAATAACCACCCTCCCATCCTGGCTTCCTATTACGAGGCGACACGCCAGCGTCTTTGCCGGCCAACCCATTATTGCACTTAAAAAAATGGGACAGAGAGAGAAGAAAAGGAACGACAACGTTTAACATTCAACAAAAAACCAGAAGTTAGATAAATGAAAAGGTTAACGTACCAGTTTGAAGAAAGGGAAATGAAAAAAATGGGATCTTTCGATTAGGTAGATGTGGTGTCGTCAAAGGTGTTATAAATAGTTCAAAGTTCTAAACTTTAGGTTGAAGAAACAGTGAAATTACCCAAAAGGGTGGGAAGATAAGCTGTGTCAACTTCTGCGTAATTACGGGCATGGAGACAGAATCTAAAACTTGCAATGGATATATTCTGTAGTTCATAATCTTAAAAAATTTCTGCTGACGATGGTTTTGTCCCAAGGCAAGGAGTTACAGTGAAAACTGTAGTGTTGTTGTTTGACCAGACGGGCACCCTGGACTTATCCGTGACAATTGGTAGGGTGCACGTGTCAAATTGTGGAATGGGCAGATTAGTCAAATTTCCGTGAAGAAAAATATCTGTATGGCTTTCAGCTTGATCAACAGGGAAGACGTAGCTATCACGAGAGAGAAAGAAAAGAAGAACAGGGAAGCTACAGCTATCTTAATGTTTATGTTGCTGGAATGGAACTGTCAAAGCTTAGGCCAAAGGGGAATTTTGGAGATAAAGAGAAGTTGCCAAATTAGACATGGGATGACATTGTTGACTTGTCACTCTTCAAATGGTCGGGAAATCGGCACTTTGAAACTCAAAGTCTCCAACATGCTAGACTGGATGTTGGAGTGAATCCCCCACTGACAAAGCCCAAGGGCAGAGCAGATTTTGGTTTTATGTGTCCATCGAAATAAGAGGTATAGGGTGGGAAAAACCATTTCATGTGTAAAGCTGAAGTTGTTATAGGTATCAAATACTCTTTTTTCTACTGCTGAAATTAAGTTTTAACATAATAAAAGTGGGAAAATGGGTAAATTGACAATGACAAGGGGCTGAACAAATGTTTATTGCAAATGTGAAAGTCTGAGAATTAAGAGATCTGGTTGCAGGGTCCTCGGCCTAATTTGAACTTCCAACATGTACTGTTTGGGCTACTAAACTTTTCTATTGGGCTTCTGTATCTATTCCTATTGTGTTCTAAACCCAAAATCACAGGCACCCAAGAATAAAGCATTTGCGTTCCAAATTTATCAGATCCAGACCCAGAACTTTGTCTGCAGCTTTTGGGCCCAATGAAATACAAGCTTGACCCTTTTAACTGACAGCTGATAAACCCAACAAGCTCTCTGGAAAAAGAAAGCTAGTTTTGGTAAACCTCATAATTTAATTTTGTAATTAGTCCCAATCAACTTTACTCTGGCTTGAATATGCTTGGTGTTGGAGATGTAATCTCAGCACTATTTTCATTTTTCCCTGTCATAAAGTAGAGACCTAATGATGTTTCCATCACAAAATAAATGACAAGTTCTTTATTCAAAACTTTGCATAAGCAAAGAGTTGGGAGATAACTGATAGCTAAAGTTTTTAATATTATGGAGACCTGTCTTATGAATTGATAATGATCAAAATAATGATGTTTAGAAAGTGATTTTAATACCAGGACAGGCCTCATTATACTAAAGTTTCTAATATTTTAATCTCTACGTGCCTCATGAAGTATATTGTTTATTATCCTCTTTGATAAGGTTTGCACTTTACATGATTTCTTCTAAGTTCATATCACATTAAAAAAATGTTGATCACAAGACAGATTTCTTGAGTAAAATATATTATCTCTAAGCATAAGACCTGGATAACGTCTGTACTTCAGATAATGTATTCATTTAAAAAACAAAATAAAAATACTAAAAAATATAATCCTAGAAGCCTAGAATTAAGTCTCCCTGTATGCATTTGTATATGGTAAATTCAGTCTAAATAAGAAATCATCAATCTTATGCTATTCAAAAGGGTATCCAAATGGGTAGAATTTGAGACTTCATTGTGTAGTTTTGTGAAGAACAGATGAGATTTATGATATAAAAGAATTACCTCTTTTCTATCAAAAACAAAATAAATCTAATGAAAATTATAAGAAAAAGTCTAATGTAAGATGAGTAGAGTAGAGTTTAATTACCCAAATACGCTAATGCATGTTCCCAAGCTCACTCGCCCAAACTCTTCCTCTATTCGCTACCCATCCTTCATAAATCACAGTCAAATGAGTAATAACTCCACGTGAAATAGAGTAAGGCTCACTCTCAAGTGGGGCTCTTCTCTTCCTCTCTCATCGAGTACGATACTTTAAGTATTTAAAAATTTGGGGAATAATTTGTATAAGCTGTCTCATCGTTGATCGAACTTATTACAACAACATTGAGTAATGAAAGACATTTATTTGCAACAGCCACAGATCAGTAGGCCCCAGAACACACTCTGACGACAGTGACTCAGTGACCCCCCCCAATTTGCGGTCGCTTTTAAGCCACGTCGCACCATCCCATTTGCTTGCAGTCATAAAGAGAGCAAGAGGGTATGAAACTCTCCGTCGGAGACACCAAGGCGGCAGGCACGTTCCTTAAAAGACTACAACTTTCCACCATGGCCATTGCAATTTGCAATGCAGAAAGCTAATAAAGAGTTTCATACTTTTTTTTTTTGAATAGGAGTTTCATACTTTTTACCTCCTAAACAAATGTAGTCAGTCTTATTGCTTAGGGATAAGATAGAACTGTTAGAATTAGGTAGTGAAATATCAGCAGCACATGCATCCGATCTTTTTTCAAGTTTATTCAAGCTATGATTTGTATAGTAATAGTGAAGCATGAATTGAATTGGCGTCTGAGAAACTAGCAATTTTCATTACTTGATCTCCAGCCGAGCACATGCCAAGTAATGGCAACAGTAAATATCCAAGTTAAGGCCAAAGTGTGGAGATGGAATTACTCTCTCCCACTCATTCCGGTTTGAAAACGAATAGACCAGAAAAGTAGCATAAAAATGGCAAGAACATGACAAGAAAACTGGGTCCTATCGTAAAAGTAAACTGGCCATGCTCTGTGCATGTTGGTCCTGAAGCTTCACGTGCCCTGTCGCGGCCTTCAGGAATCATTATTCAGAGGGAGAGAATCTCTATGTGAGCAGTGAGTAATGTCACTTGCAGAAGAAGAAAACGTGTTTCTTCTCATTTGAAGAAAATGCAGCCTCTGCTAGATTGCACACTTAGACCCAGTTTGGCTTTACCGAAAGGATTAGAAAAGTGTCTATATTTTTTCAAGTTATAGTCCTTCAGCATGATAGTTGATAGCATGGATGAGGGAGGACAACTTCGTGTGAATGTTCACGACTGTTAAGGTGTGTATTTGGCCACTTATTTATGTAGGAGAATCATCTCGTCCTAGTCAAAACCTTACCATTTACACAAAGTTATCTACCCAAAATGCCAGCTTAGGTGGGTAGGACCTCCGCAAAGCCGAAAAACTGCTGTTAAATCACTGATTATCTGATAAGAAATAATATTTCAACTCTAGAAAATTTGAGGAACACGACAAAAATGAGATTTGAACCTTCTACCAACCCCATGAGCAGTTCCATCAAGTTTCACCCTTCTGATCAAATTAAGTTGATGAATGAACCTTGCTGGCTTGTACACCTGTCGCAAGATTTTTATTGATTTGCATGGGGACAGAATTAAAAAGAAAACAAGAAAAAGGTCACATTGATCTGATTTTCCTTTTATTTTTGACACGGGAATTGGACGAGTTATCTAATTTACCAAAAAAGATACAAATAAAAAAAAGGAAAGGCAATCATAGAAATAGAGAAGAGCTAACACAAATTCACATTTACAGCCCTGTGTTTCCATAAATATTGCCACACAAATACCAGGGCATGCAATTGCAAACATCTGCCACGATGATCATGATGATGATAATGATGAAAAGAAAACGAGATCGACGGCCACAAATTAAACACAAAATACAAGGGAAAAAAAGGGAAGAAAATAGAAAACTCAACAAATTAAGTACACGGGAGAAAATCCGTTTTCATGTGACAAGGTTAATTAAACCACTTAATAATCGGTGCTGGGGAGTTGCTCATGGGTGTGGCTAATGAAGAAAAATTCATAGACGAGCCCAGCTATCCCACCGCCGATAAGAGGTCCAGCCCAGTAGACCCAGTGGTTCTTCCAGGTCCAGCTAACCAAGGCAGGTCCAAACGAAACAGCTGGGTTCATTGAGGCTCCATCGAAGGCCCCACCTGCCAAGATATTGGCTCCCACGATTAAACCAATTGCCAATGGTGCGATCACTCCCAAACTTCCCTTCTTAGGATCAACGGCTGTGGCGTAAACTGTGTAGACCAATCCGAATGTCATCACGATCTCGAAAACGAAGGCGTTCCAGACCCCGACTCCAGAGGATACCCCAAAAGCTGGTGTAGTCTGCGAAGCTCCATAACGTATAAACAAATAAATAAAGGAACACTGTATATCAAATTAACGGCGATAACTAATTTTCTAGCGGAAACTGGGGGGAAATGGTAAAGTTACCAGGCCGTTGGTGGCGAACTTAAGCAACAGGCAAGCGACGGTTGAGCCAAGGAGTTGGGCGATCCAGTAGAGGATACCACGTAAAAGAGTGATGTTCCCGCCAACAAAAGCACCGAAGGTGACGGCTGGGTTGACGTGGCCTCCGGAGATGTTGGCGGCAACAGAGACAGCAACGAAAAGGGCGAAGCCGTAAGCTAGGGAGGCGGCTACGAGACCGGCAGGGGTGGTTGCTCCGTTGTCGGTCAACTTGTTATAGGCCATGCTCGAGCCTGATCCAGCGAAGACGAAGATTAGGGTTGATATGAACTCAGCCAAAGCTGCCTTAAGAGCATCTGGGTGAGTAGCCTCCTCGGGCCGGCCAACGGCTATGTTTCTGATCGGCATGCTTACTGTCTGATCAAAAATCAACCGGTCGGAGTGGAGAGTGCTGTTTGAGTGAGTATTGGTCTGGTCTGGTCTGGTCTCCACTTCTCAGTTTCAGGTCTTACTTATATTTGAAAGGCGCAATCGGTGGTGACCGGGATTAGTCCGTTACCGGTTAAAAAATGTGGGGAGAGGGAGTATTATTTGGAAGGTGATTGGTGGACAGGCTGTGAAATGGATTATTTATGTTCTTCTTTGGAAATAGGTTTAGCCGAGCTACCGGTCATGCAGGTTAAGACAGCGAAGCAGAACAGTGTTAGGTGGATGAATTATTGCCACGTGTCTATAATGATAAGAGCCAAGTAATGTACGGCGTTTTATCCTTTTTTTTTTGCTCTTTCCCGCTTCCTCTCGAAAAATCGAATTACTATTTCTTTTTTATCTGCCCGAACAATAATAAATATAAAATGAAAATAGAAAGGAAAAGATAAGTTTTCTGACTGCCTTGAAGCAATCCGATATTGACACGTGGAACCGAGGGGCCGTTGGTCATGAAATCTGAGGGCTGAGCAACGCTGGGTTTGCAAAATCCATTTTTCTCCTCATAATTTATACCATATATGAACAAAAATGGGAAGAACGTGAAGGATGGGGATTGATATTGGAAACCATACTCGCGCTTTCTCGTTTGGATAGGAATCTTTGGATGGATAAACTCATGTGAAATATACAAGTTGAATTGTTATTATATATTTTAATTTTATTGATAAACCAGTACTATATGAGCTAGAAAGAAGAATTAGTCAAATCGTTTTGATTTTTAAAGATAGTTGAATTGTCCTTCTGTACGCACATCACACATTAATAACAATATATATAATTAATATAAATTTCGTTAATAAAATTAATAGTTTAATACTAATTACTTAGTTTGCGTGTTTTTCATTGCAATTCTTTTGGTGGGAAAGAGTTGAATATAGGGAAAAGGAATTGGGAGAAGCAGAATTTACGACCATTCAATGGCACTGATACAAAGTGAAATTATGTATCATCTTAGCATTCCCATTTGCATAATTGAGTACAACAACAATGACCCAAAATGAAGAATGAATGATTACAAAGCCAACGTGCCTTTCTTTGCAAAAGGGCCTTATTCTCAATCGGAATAGAAATAATTAATCCTCATGCCTTGTGTGTCACTACTCGCTACAAACCCAAACTATTTTTCCTGTTAAAGCACCTTATCTGCTTTTATAACAATGGTTATAATTCAAAAACTCTTTAAAAACCTTTCTCCTTTGGTGTAGAAATTAACATTTATATCTCAAATGGCATAGCTTTTGGCGGTTTAATTATCAACAATGATTGTATTAGACGAGGGTTTTACAATGTTTTTTGTATTGTTAATTGTTACCATTTGTTTGGTTTGGGGAAGGGGAGAGTCCATTAATTGAATTTATAAAATGTCTTATTCCAAAATTTCAATTGCAAATGCTAGAGATGGTCCCATCCAGCTGCCAGAGGTAGACATCATATATGAGAACAGTCCCTTTATTGATCACTAATGTACATAACACACTACAAGGACTTTATTTTTCTAAGAAAAAGGCCACCCAATTAAAAAACCTAAATTCAATTTTCTTTCCTCAAATAAGGATCTGAATTTTGTTTATCCTCAGCATATTCCAAAAAGCATTGTTACTGATAATATTTAATATAATGTTCTTGGGAAGTTAGGGTTGGTAAAGCCTAGGCTTAATGGCAATTTGTGATTTAAGCTACCAACAGGTCCCCTCATATAAGCCAAGGCCAAACAGTTTAGTGAATAAGACAGCTAATCCACTAATTGATGAGAGCATTTCCTGAAAATTTCAAATCCTTCTGTGCTTTGGGAAAAACTCTAGAGCAATTGGAAGGACTTAGATTGGTATTAATTTGAATTTTTTTAATTCTTATTAGATTTTTTTAATTAAAAAAAGGGAAATTTGAATCATATTTTTTAAATAGGGATTATATACTAACTAATGAGTCAAATATTCTGATACTCATCATTAGTAATTTGATATGTAATTGTTAAACGAAAACTGTAACAATTTTAATTCTTATTAATGTCCTCTCTATTGAGTATAGCTAGCACAAGTTGTTTAATGCAATAAAAGGAAAAAAATATTACCAGGAAGGGAAAATCAGTTAGAGGTATTAAATCCACCCATTATAAATTTGATAACTTTAGCCAAACCTAACCCTATTCTATGTGATTCAGTCGTTTCCTTCTATATCCGGAAATATTAACAACTAATTCCAGCTCCATAATTAGTTCATCCAAGCTGGCTCCTGCTTATCCAGTTACAACTTGAGTAAATACGGTTTCACTTTTCTTCTTCTTCTTCTTCTTCTTGTTATTATTATTATTTCAAGATTTAGTAATACAAATTTTAAATGCGATCAAAAGTTCAATTGATGAATTTTTAGAAGCTTGGAAAATAGCTTTGTAAGAAGTTTGAATATAGGTCACATCACTCATTATCTTGGGTATAAAGTATTGATACCGAAATTTTATATTCATGTTCCTCAAGCTATTAGATAATGCACATGCATACAAGCCTTTTGTTTGGTTTATATTGAACAAAGAGTAAGATGTTTGCAACTTGCCAGTATATTCATTTGGTGATACTCATATTGGACATTGGCCTAATGTGACCGTTGGCAGTGTTCTCATCTTTTTCAAACTCATTATTTTTTGTTTTAAAATAAGAAAGTTATTTGCAAAATTAGCATACATAATTTAGAGTTATTCATGCGAGAAATTAGCTCTTAATTTTAAATAATTGAAATGTTTCATTGCTATTCAATGAAGTAGATTGCAGGAAACTAACAGGGCTTTGTCAACAAAAATTTTACTAAAAGAATATTTTTGTTAATGTTATTTTCAAAGTTACGAACAAATTGTTAATAAAATTTTTATTGATTAAATTTGATGATATCATTAGTGGAATTCATATTCAATTAAATATGTTAACTATCGCAATCCACATTTTATATTGGAATTAAGGATGTGATGCAATGAAATAAATTTGGATTTGGGTCTATTTACTTACACCTTTCTTTTCTAATTAATGAACAATGCAAAGAATAGAACTGATAAGGTAGGAGCCTGTTGTGCTAAATTAGTTATATATCCTTACCCTAGAGAGGAAGCACATTAAAAGTTGAATTAGTTAATAAAAAATTTAAAAACCATAAAGGTTATCATATGGGTTTCCTAATTTCAGTAAGTTATGATTAGAATGACTCCTTTTGGAGCTTACGATTATGATTAGATAATAGACAAGAGGGCAAGTGCTACCAACTCTACTGATTTATTCACATCCCACCGTTCTCCAAGCATTAATCATTTACCACTATTTTCCAAATAGAGACAAGATTTTACAACTTTTTGTTTGTAGATTTGAATTTAAAACACTTGGATTTGTAACTGCAGCACATGCATGATTTATAGCATGGAGAGCTAGAAACTTCTGTTAAATCTCTTTTTGGATCACTGAGCATTTTGCGGACATGATTATCAATCTGAAAGTAAATTTTTTTTAAGGGTTTGATTCAATTCTTGATATATATTTATTTTATTAAAAAAATAAGTTTGAATTTTTTTAAGTTAATAAAAAATATAAAAGTCAAATTAATTCTTTCAACAAATCAACTATATACCCACATTCATCAATCTTTTGATATTTGCTTCAAAACAACAACAAATTATGGAAAAAGTCTCATAATTCAAATTACAAAATAGGTAAAAGGCATGAAGCTTGGAAGGTATTAATCACTTAAAATCATTTACAAGTAATACCAACAAGTCAACCACTTAAAATTGAATTATATAGGATTGAAGATTAAGGAAATGTATTTAAATTCAGTCATGGTTACTTGTTTCTCAATTTTCATGTTTCCAGTTTGTCCTTTTCATTGGTGAAATTAATAGATGGGATATGATGTGGAAAAGAGCAGTGGGGCACGTGAGGGTGTACGTGAAAGATGGGGGCAGAATGAGAACAAAGCATGTTACCACCAGGCTGGCAGTGGTGATTGGTTGGTTGGGCACCGTAAGTAGCAAACCCTTGAGTGCCAGCTGTAGCCCAATCCCCTTCCAACTAGTGGTGAAGGCCCACTACGGATCTTTACCATCACGATTTAAGAAGCATATTTTTTATTATAATTAAATAATTACAAAAGTAAAATAAAAAGGAATTACAGTGAAATAGTTCACGGTTTGGACCATCTCTCCCCCTTGTTGTCAACCAGTCAAACAAGTGGCTCAGTCTATACTAGTCTTAGACACTTCTGTCTTTGAGGGAGGATCCAAACTCGATTCTATGAGAATGATTGATGCCTAACTATTGATAACGTGATTCAATGGTGCCTTGGGCTATTGTCATATGAAAAATAGAATAAAATGAAACTTATATAAAGGCATTTAATCTCCTGAATGTGAATTTATATTTTGGAGCAATTCATATAAACTTATCAGGGAAAAGGATGCACCTCTTTGTTTCGGTTAACTGGTTAGAATAGAGTTGGGACAAAAGCCACAGCCCTAGGGAAAATCTACTTGCTAAGGAGGGTAGGTGAACCATGGGGGACCAAGTCCCAAAGCTCGAAGGACGTACCTCTCTATGAATTTGATAATTACTTGACAAATTGATAATGGACAAAAAATGTTCAATGATTAATGAATGAAGCCTTGGCTTACTTCAAAAAACAAAGGAAAAAACAATGCACTCTTAATTTCATCGTAAGAAGAATAATAGTCCTCCATTTTCAGGTGTTTAATTATTATCATCATTGTCATTATAAGTAGTACTGCTTAAGATATATGAGTACCATTGTATACATTATTGGAGCCCCAGATTCAACTAAAGAATAAAATTTCTATGTTCAAAGTTTTCTCACCAGACAACTAACTTTCTCAACAGAATCAAAATTCAGACCCACGGGCCACAGCCATGGAAAATCCAGGCAATCAGGGCCCTTTGCATACATGTAGCTCAGCCTTAGCGAAATGAAGTCTTCATCAGGTGGCCTTTCCGTCATATAAACTGAAGCAATTATGTAT